ACAGGCTTCTTTAGCCACTTGGTGTAAGAAATCTTTCGAGGTGTTTCCTAATGTCTCCTCATTTGATCACAACTAGTTCATTCAGTAAAATTATCAATCTGTTTGAAATAAATATTTGGTTGTGATAGAACTGCTATTAATTTCAATTTTGTCTTCCTTCATCTCTGATTCCGTTTTTTGTTTATGGTAGAAAAATAATTTTGGCCTTCACTAGGTCTAAATGGTTGATCTACATTCTGGCTCTGTGTGCCCTACGTCTATTATTTTACTGTTAATAATGTGTATGATTATTAGTCAATCACTGCTCTCCTTTCTTACCTTATCTTCCAAGTGATCATATGTTATTAGCTGGAAGTGGCGTTATTCTCATTATAAAGTTCTGCGTTCACATAGTTTGAATCTAAAGAAGCGCTTGGTGAAATACCTTTAAATAAGAAAAGGAGAGGGAAGAGCTATTGGATTACTCAAAACCTGAAGCGGGAAATAGAGGAGAAGAAGAGACTGTATGAAAAATGGTTGAGTACCAAGAAAGAAGAAGATAGAGAGGAATATAAAATCCAACGAAATAGAGTTAGAAACATCATAAGAAAAACAACGATCTTGGGAGTGTAAATGTCAAGGTAGAAATGTACGTAGGTGGAACAAAAACAAGTGAGATTTGGAAGTTTATAAAAGAGGTAAAATCTCCCCAAATGGAAAAAGTTCGCATACAAAGTATATCTGTAAGCAAATGGGAAGAGTACTTTAGGAAATTATTAAATGAAGGAAAATCAGACTTTGTTGGAACTACAGAAAGGGAAAAGATATCTCTGGCAAGAGAAATTACAGTAACCGAAGAGAGAGTTAAGAGATGTATCAAAGAAATGAAAGCCAGTAAAGCTCTGGGTCCAGGAGAAATCTCAAGCGAACTGATAAAGAACGGAACATCAAAGCTAGTGCGAATGATGACCAAGCTAATAAATATATGTATAAATAAAGGCGATATACCAGAAGACTGGAAAATGGCTTATATAACACCAATATATAAGAAAGGCAAGAAAGACGTATGTGAAAATTATAGAGGGATAGCAGTGCCAAATACGTTCAGTTAGGTATATGGAAGAATATTAAGAGAATTAATATAAAATTAATACAAGGAGTTCGAAGAAGAACAATGTGGTTTTAGGGCACGTCGACCTTGCTTAGATAACCGGTTTTGCCTGTCCTAGGAGATGCAAAAGAAATGGCAAACAGGGAGAGAACTTCACATGGTCTTCTTTGATATAGCAAAGGTATATGATACTGTGCCAGTAATAAAGTTATGGGAAGTTTTGAATAAAAGTAATGTAAATAAAATCTTATTAAATGCAGTGAAGAAATTGTACATAGATCAAAAGGGAAAAGTGAAAGTTGGAAAATAGATGACCCAAATATTTCCTGTATCAAGAGGAGTACACACAAGGATGCTGTTTCTCACCTACTCTCTTTAAAATGTATGTTAATGCGGTGTTACAGGTATGGAAAAGAAAATGTGCTGGGAT